ATTGTTTAATATACACACAAGAATCCGCTGCTGTTCTTTTATAGCTATGACTCACCATAAAAGAATCAAACTTTTTGTACCACTGTCGCGGAGCTTGTTTCAAGCCATACAAGCTTTTCTTCAATTTGCAAACTAAGTGCTCTTTCCCTTTCACTTCAAAACCCTCATGCTGATTCATATAAATATCCTCCTGCAAATCACCATGCAAAAATGTAGTTTTAACATCAAGTTGCTCAAGCTCAAGATTCAAACTAGCTGCCAATCCCAGTACCACTCGAATAGAACTCATTTTTACAACTGGAGCAAAAATCTCATCAAAATCGATGCCTGGTTTCTGAGAAAAACCTTTTACTACCAATCGAGCTTTGTACCTCACTAGTTTGTCACCATCCTTTTTCAACTTGAACACCCATTTATTCTTTAATGGCCTCTTCCCTGTTGGAAGTTTAACAAGATCATAAGTACCATTCTTTCGCAATGACTCCATCTCTTCTTTCATTGCTTTTAACCAGTGCTCTCTATCCGGAGTAGCCTGCACATCTTGAAAGCTTTCTGGCTCCCCTTCACTGGTAACTAAAATAAAATTTGAACTTGGATACCTGGTAGATGGCCTGCGCTCTCTAGTAGATCTCCTAGGCTGAGACTCTACATCACTTGATGCCGAAGGTAGCTCCCCCTGCTCAACACTCTCAGGTAGAGAGGATTGCTCCCCCTGCTCAAAACTAATAGCATCTGGCTCATCACCAACTGTAGCTGGCTCATCCATATCCCCAAGTTCTGTTTCTGGCTCATTTTCACCATCTGTGGCTCTTTCCTGTGAAATCTCTGTCGGTGTTGAAACATCACACTCAACAGTAACTCGTGTAGTCTTCTCATTTTTCTCAAGGTCTGCTATGGTTTCTTTTTCATGAAAGATCACATTTCTACTTCTGATTGTCTTTCTCTTTACTGGATCCCATACCCTGTAGCCAAATTCCTCATCACCATATCCTACAAACACACACTGTGTAGCTTTACTGTCAAGCTTTGATCTCTGCTCTTTCGGCACATGCATGAATGCTTTACACCCAAAAATTTTCAAGTGAGAGTATGAAGCATCTTTTTCTGTCCACACTCTTTCTGGAATGTCAAAGCCCAAAGGAACTGATGGTGACCTGTTAAGTAAATAACAAGCTGTGTTGACTGCTTCACCCCAGAATGGCTTTGGTAATTTTGCCATCCTCAACATACATCTGACTTTTTCCACAATGGTGCGATTCATTCTTTCAGCTATACCATTATGCTGCGGTGTTCCAGGTTTTGTCCTCTCATGCCTGATCCCATGCTTTGAGCAATACTCTTCAAAGCTTTTAGATGTGTATTCCCCACCATTATCAGTTCGAATACACTTCAAGGGTAACCCTGTCATCCTTTCAACCATGGCATGAAATTTTTGAAAATACTGCAGTACCTGACTTTTATATTTCAACATATACACCCAAGTCTTACGTGAAGCATCATCAATAAAAGTAACAAAATATCTGCTACCACCTAATGACTCAACCTCAATGGGACCACATACGTCAGAATAAATTAATTCCAATCTATTTTCTTTTCTCTGAGAACTTTTACGAAAAGAAACTCTATGATGCTTACCAAACAAACAATAATCACATGAATCGAGATACATACCTTTGGTCAAGGGAATGAGAGAGTGTCTTGCCAAAACCTGTAACCCTTTTTCACTCATGTGTGCCAGCCTCCTGTGCCACAAGTTTGCTGAAGCATCATTTTCAACGGTATTTACCTGGTTACCGTTCAATTGCATCCATGTCTTATACATTGTGCAGCATAATTTTCCCCTTGCAACTACCATAGATCCTTTGAGAAGCTTCCACTGTCCATTCTTTTGTCGGCTTTCATATCCCTCCTTATCAAGGACATTAATAGCAAGCAAGTTCATTCTCATATATGAAATGTGTCTGACATCCCTTAAAGTCAACATGCAGCCTGTACTAGTTTGTACACTAATATCACCAATCCCAACAATCTGTGACACACTCTTGTTTCCCATCTTGGTACAACCAAAATCTCCTGCTTTGTAAGTTGTAAACAACTCTCTCTTAGGAACACAATGATATGCCGCTCCTGTGTCAACTATCCACTCAATGCCGGGATCACTAACATGATTACAATCACCATGTGTACAAATCAAAGTAACTGAATCACTATATGAATTCACTGCTGCAACATTGCCATAATCTGAACTCTTGCCTTTCTCATCTTTTCGCTCTTGCTTCAAGATTCTACAATTTCGTTTTATATGACCCGCCTTACCACAATGGAAACACTTCACTTTACCTCTAGATTTGGATCTATGTTTAGACTTACCACGGCCTTTTGAGTCCTGACCTCTGTCGATGTTTCTACCCCTGTTCTCTGTGACCAGAGCTTGATTCCCAAGGTCTACATCTTTTCGCCTCGCTTCTTCATTAAGCATACTGTCCTTTACCATCTTCAATGTCACCTTATAATCAGGAGCTGAATTAAGAATAGTCACAACTAGAGTATTCCAGCTGTCTGGCAATGAACCCAAAAGAAATAATGCCTTCATTTCATCATCCATTTTAAGCTCCATAGTAGTCATCCGATTAAATATATCTTGAAAATCACTCAAGTGCTCTGTAACAGATCGTCCATCCCTGTACTGTAAAGTTGCAATCTTTTTAACAAGCATAACTTTATTCATACCTGTTTTTCTCTTATACAATGCTGCCAATTTTTCCCAAACAATGTGAGTATCTGACTCCTGCGTTACATGATGGAATACGCTGATATCAACCCATTTTCTGATTGTAGCCAGCGTCTTTCTACCTAGCTTCTTCCAGCTTTCATCTTTCATATCTGTTGGTTTAGCCGAATCACCCAATACTGGCTCATACAAATCTTTACAGTATAGATGATCCTCCATCATAGGCTTCCAAATTGAATAATTCGATGCTGTCAATTTTATCATGAAACCTGTATCACCCTCCATGATCTCAAACAGAATTTACTTCTATCCTGGGATGCTTCTGTATCGATGTTTCAAAATAACCCTCGCTCTGATACCACTTGTTGCGCCTGAAGCAATAATCACAACAATACAGAAGCAATAGACAACAATCAATAATCAAATGCGCAGGAAAAATAAAGCACACCAAGATTTACGTGGAAAACCCTCCAGTGTAGAGGAAAAAAACCACGGGCCACCAGAAAAATCTTCACTATCAAATAATAGTTATACAAAGTTCTTCTCTAGCTAAAACTAGAGCTAATCAACAACTAGAGAAACAATTGGAGAAATCTCACCAAATAAGTGACTCAACAAATACACCCTGGATTTGTTCCTAGAGAGCTTCAAACCCGATCTTCACCGTTCAGAATGTATAACTCTGAATCATAAACCTCCTGACAAGGTTCCAACTCAATCGGACCACGGATCGACTTCCGTTTAACCAACTCTCCCTTCTCTTTTTTCTCTCTCTGCTTTTCCTGGCTTTTCTTCTTTTTCTGCTTGGTTGTCGACACACACATAAAACAACCCCACCTCTTTTTTATTAAGTAGCTAAGGCTCTGTGTAAAATAAAAGATCAAGGCCCATGGCCTTTACTTGATCCAAAACCACTTACATGAGACTGGACCCCATTTTCCTAACATTAACATCAGATAAGGTGCATGTTCTAAGCTTGACTTCCCAAGTTTGGCCATGCTTTTCAAGCAAAAGAAAAAAATGATTTCTTCAGTTTGTTCCAAATTCTGGGAAACAAAATTGCTTACAAAGTAATGGTACAGGAAAATATTGATGACTGGATCTTGTCTTGTGAAAGCATAATTTTCATCTCCAAAGAAATTTTACCTCTGAAAAGACAGTGCCTGCTGGTAATATCCATCGCTCTGTGCTGGGCATCTTTTGGATTTGAATTACATCTTTGATGAGAATGCTTACAATTATTAAGGAGAAACTTGTGCAAACTTTTATGTCAAAGTAATTGGAACATCGATATTACCTGCCATAAAAAAGGAATATCACAAAATTCAGCAGATACATGATGACACATAAGACTGTAAGATTATAGGCCAAATGAGAATGTAATGATTAATGAGCCATCGTTTTAATGGAAGAAAAACATTATCAATTGGAAGCATTTAAGTGAACCAAGTCAATAAACAGAGGCAATGATTACTAAGATGGGCTCAGTTTATCTTAGCTCAAAGGATTTTCAAGAATGGTTAGCTTTTGTCCAAAAAAATGGAACATGTTTATTCTATTAACATCTCATCTAAATGGAAAAACGTGGGTTTTGGTTAAAATTTTATGTAACATATCATCCAAATAATGATTTTGATTTAAATACCGGAAACAGAAAGCATGTGAATTGGTTTATCATCTGGGGTTGGATTTATTGGCATTTGGGCGTTTTAGTAAAATGGTAAGTAGTTACAGCTGAAATGATTTTGGTCTTGATAGGAATTTGGAGTTTTATGAATGAAATTAAACAAGAATTATAATAAAATTAAATCTAATGTATGGTGGCTGGGATGGAACATGTATAGAATCATCATTTATGAGTTCTTTTTTTTTTCTTATATAAATGTGCTAAAGGGAAGAAACTGTTTTATGGTGTAATAAAGATAGTTCGAGAATGACATTTGAACTTGTGTCTATTCTGAAATGATATGCTGGAACTTGTGTGTGCGTGTCACTGTTCTACAGAATCATGTCTCTCAGCTTGTCCAAGAAAGAATGCGTTGTCAATCCACTTGCGCAAACTGAAGACAAAAACTCTTTGTCATGCGCCATTCTTTTGTTGTTCATTGATCAATTGACCAAGTTGTCATGTCCGTATGTTCATTGAAGTAATTGATGTGTAACTCATACCGCAAAACCCATCACAATAAAACCCTTTAAAAAGGCAAAAAAAAAGTTCCCTCAAGTCGAAAAATGAATCCAGTTAGAATTGTTGTTTCATCTCGCGGTAAATTGACTGAAGGGGAACTACCAAGCAACTGCATTCATTTCCCCAATATGCTTTACAACAGTATTTTTCTGAGTACCACAGTTGAGAAATTTCCTCTGACAGCTGACCCTACCAATTTGCTGCCATCATTGTCATATTTGTCCGAAACGGATAAAAAATAATTTAGGCCAAAGGTCATAGATGTCTGTTTTTATTTGGATTTCTTGAATTATTAATTTTATCTATGCTTTGAACGGTGGACAATGATGCAATGGCATAAGGTAAGAGGGTGACAATTATGATGATTCCTTTCCATCTTTATATGATTGTTTTTTTTTTCAGTGTAATTATATGATTGTTCATTCATTGTCATAGATGCAGATATAAAAGCCCCTGCAGAATTAAGGATCATTGTCCCCATGTGCCTTCTGCCTTTCACAGACATTTAATAAAAATCTTATTGTTGATTATGGCATCCCCTTCGCTGTCAAAAAGGTAAAGAAATTTCCTTTTAACATATGTCGGTTTGGTTTTGTAGTTGCACTACGATTCAGTGCCTCAACAGTGATTTTGTCCATCAGGGTTTCTAGCTTGGAATCTGCAGATTAGAGAGTCTTCCCAAGATTCTTAATCGAAGGTGCACTCTGAAAGGCAAGAAAATTCTATATGTTTTGAGGTCAGATTTTGGACTTGGAGCAGTAGACACAAGGATTTTGTTGCTGAGATACAGCACTTTCCTTGGAGATTCTGAGTACTTTTAAAAGAGGTTTGTATGAAGGAGATTGTGATTAATAGAGAACTGAATTAAAAACAGTGATTTTCCCTGGTTTGAACAGTTTTTCCTTCTAAAAGCTTTAGCATTAGGGATGTTTGATGGAGGCATGACTACGTCTTTCTATACTGTAAACTACCCGCCAGTTCTAGTTAATTTGAGTAAAAACAGAACCCAGCTTAGAACAAGATCCAATCCATCTTTTTTGGTACAAACGTCTTCAGCTCTTCTACAAACCAATGAGAGTGGAAATCTACCTGAATCTAAAAAGATATCAGGTTCCTGTTCCGCGCTATTTAAATGCCAGGTTCAGAATTCCCTGCTTAGACAAGCAAATAGTGTAGGTATTATTGGAGGGGTTTCTGTTTTGTCCACTCTTATTTTCCTGGAGAAACTTGTGTGGTGGAGCTCGAGAAATGGAGAACAATGTGTTCCTTTTGTTGTCTGCAGTGATCCAGCCTTAGACGGGTGCCTTATCTCTCAAGCTTCAATTCATTGGTCTTCTGGTGAAATTGCTCGAAAGGAAGTAAATCACGAACCTATTATCGAGAATCTGAGGCACAAAAGAGTATTTCTTGAGCAATCTGGAGTTTGCTGCATAGTTATGCCATGCCATATCTCAAACGCATGGCATGACGAGATATCTGAGGGCTGCTCACTGCCATTTTTTCATGTTGGTGAATGTGTTGCCAGGGAGCTCAAGGAAGCGAAATTGAAGCCACTGGATGCTGGGAGTAATGTGCGGATTGGGGTGCTTGCCACCCGTGAAACTATAGCTGCTGGTTTTTATCAGGAAAAACTACGGAAGCAGGTATCTTAATTCCTAACCCATTCCCTTATGTTTATACTACTTCTGTTTCATCACAAAAATTTAGCTTTTGAGCTTTACTATTGCACCTTCACTGGACTATCTGATTCTGGATCATATTTTTGTGATAGTATGGCCTCACAACCAAATATATCTGGGTTCCTTGTCTGAAAAAATTAAAATTTCAAGTTGATATGCATTGTATGATAAAAGAGAGCTAGATTGGAGTCTCAAAAACTTGCATCAGAAGGAGCAGATAAGTTTTTCATGTGCACCAAATTCGACATATGAATTCTGTTGAGGAGAAATGACTTATTTAATCTCAGTTACTTTGGTCCAACATTTGGCAGAGACAATTTCAATTCTATATGTGTGTTCTGTCTTATTTCTTTCGGTTGAAAGTTTGGCAGATTATTGCTCTCATAGGGTGTTGGGGTTGTGGATCTATTCTCTATAAATTGGCTTGGGTATGATTTCAAAACCACATTTGCCTATTTCATAGGTGTTTTTGGCCATAACGTTAAAGACCTTAACAGGAACATGTTTTTGGTGCTGTAGCAGCTGCAGATGATCTCTTAGAGCAATAGAGTGACTGTTTAGATTTTTCAGATTCAGAGATATTAAGATTTATTTACAATTGTTTGAAAAGCTATCTAAGAAAGTTTAAACAAAGCTTTACTTGAAAATCCAACTATATTATCCTCAGCTGAAAGATGATGAGGGCTCCAGTCAACTAAAACCTCTTCCTCGATTTGATTTGGTTGGAAAACCTCACATAACACAACTAATAGAAGACAGAAGGCATGAAAACAGCATTCTGTCTTCTTTCTCGTTGGCCTTTTCTATCAAGATACTTAAAAGTATCTATTTATAGATCTTAGAATACTTAAAGGACGATGGTAGAGCTTCTCAAGCATCAAATCTTTCTTTTGAATTTGTTTTTATCTTTCTGCCGTCTTTTCCCATATTTCTATATTGTTATTATACATATCACTCAAAAAATACCACTTGGAAGAATTTTCACTATGTTCATCCTGAAGTATACTTCGTTTCTCGTAATGTCAATTTGCAGGGCTTTGAAGTTGTTTTGCCAGACAAGGCAACCATGGAACACATTCTAATTCCTGCAATTGAATCATTGAAAAAAAGGGACATGGAAGGGGCTCAGAATCTCTTAAGAATAGCAATCCAGGTGCTTTTGATCAGGGCTGTGAATGTTGTAATCCTAGCTTCTGATGAACTGCAAACTCTTTTACCTCGAGAGGATCCTCCTATGAAAAAATGCATCGACCCTATGGATGCTTTGGCCAGGTCAACTATAAAATGGGCTAAATCTGCAAAGGTGTATAAGAAAACATGAACAATTAAGACTACTTGGGAGCACACTGCCAAAACGTGTGAAAGAAAACTCTTGCTCGTGTGATAGAAACTCTTCTGTATTATAGGAGTATCTTTCTATCAGAAGTGCAAGCGGTCTTGTTTATATTATCGTGTAAATGTCAATAAAGGGAGTATAACAGATGAATATCATTATACCAAAAATTAAAAGTAAGACCTGTTTTCCAGACACTAACTGCCCTGCTTCTAATTATAGAACTAACATTTGCATTGCTGCATAGTCAATGAAATTTATTAAACGAAGAGAATAATGCATACTGAGTTGTTTTAAATATGAAGATTAACAAAAAATGCCTATATCAAGTCCCAGTCAGGCATCTGACTTCTGACAGTTGACAAATCACCTTCACAGGATGTGTAATTAATCAGTAATAACCTGATAAAGCAAATGGGTAATTCCTGTGTACCTTGAATCATGCTTCTCAGTTTTGCCGGTTGAAATAACTCATGAATACTGTACAAGACAATCAATTGACGTTTGATTAGCCAAGGGTATAGAATAGTTATTTGAATGTGGCCTAAGTCATATAAGTATAACCAGCAAGATAATTTGGGATTAGGAACTAGCCTTGAGAAAAACTCAGACGTCTCCTTTCTCAGTTCCCCATTTTATGGATGAAACCTGCTACTATGGTAGCAACTTTAGGAAGTCTTCTGGTAAATTGTAAGATTTGCCAAAAGCTGGCCTGCAGTCTCTAAAACTGAAAATAGAATCATTAGCTACACTCTTTAATGTCTTGCCACTTGTGCATGAGAAATAGCTTCAAATCTAAGCAAATAAACGATAAGCAAACATTACTGAAGTCACTTTTTCCAGTCACTCACAAGATACCTGTTTATAATGGTTAAAATCTGAGGAAACATGAATGAGATTTGAATACTAGAAAGTTTAAGAAAAATGAATCTATGTTGAGCAAATAACCTAAAAGTTGATTGCACAAACAAAATGGCAAACTTTTAAATCAATATCCTGAAATAAAAGGGGGGAACTGCTCTCATTCATTTTAAAAGGTTATTCGTATTTTTCTAATATAAGATGGCAGGATAAACTCTTCCTTAAAATGCAGACAAACGCATTGGAACAAGCACAAAGCATCTGCGGCATCCTTTAGAAGAGAATAAGGATGCTATAAATTTGCAAAGGAACTGCTGGGCAGTTTCAATTGAGCTTCAACACCAGTTGGTGGACCTTGATTTGCCCAGGTAGAGATGAGGTGATGGGCAATTGCAAATGGCCCAGGAACAAACATTGGAGCAAGCTCCCCACTTTCGACATTAAAATCTGCTGACCAACTCTGTTCCTTCTCAACTCCCCTACACATCTGTTCTACTTTAGCCGCTGCTGTTCTCTGTGCCTTCTTGTATTCAGCAAATGTCAATGCTTTTCTCACATCTTCTCTGCTGTGCCATTGAGCGTCTAGACAAACAAAAAGTCTCGCCATTATAACAATTTAAAACCCAATCAAATAAGTACAAGTGCAAAATACTGGAAAACAATTTTGCCTTCCATGCTCGAGGCAGAGATTGTGGCTTATACGATAAGTATGTGCAAGCACCTGCACCTGCACCTGCACCTGCACACATATGTGTGTATCATGCAATCCACTAACCATAAACTTTTTCGTCCTGAATTCATATTTCTATGATCCTATTGCAAAATGCATGGGACCTATTGCTTTTCAAGATTTTCTGCACCAGGTCATGCGACAGAGCAAACAGAGCAAAAGTGTTTCTTATAATCTGTCATCAAACCCATGTGACAATTGCATATTTTTGAAATCCATATTGTTCCAAATGAGTACTGAATTCCCCGTATCATAAAGTTGGTTCCTCTAGAATTTAATTTTTCAAACTGTGTTTCAATATGTCATATGTATTAACCATTAGGACACTTTTTGCTCAATAGAACCCCATTGAAAAACCATCAACAGCACTAATAAAAACACTATGCTTCACTACAGAGGCAATCAAGATTCAGGACGGTAAAAGTCTAAACAATTTGATCAGCATTTAACTAAAATGGAATGGAACATCATCAATCTCATATGTATGGATTAAGCAGGGTTTACACAGCACAGGTATGTTGACTACTTATTTTACCAGAGTGAAGAAAAAGGACAGAAGAAAACATCAGAAAAGGACTGAAAATTATGTTCTCCGTGGATTAAGCATGGCTTACACAGCACAAGTAACTTGACCACTTAGTTTTCCAAGAGTGAAGAAGAATAGCGGAAGAATTACGTAGCAAAAGAACTAAAAATTATGCACTCAAAGAATAAAGTGACCCAAAAAAGAAAATTGTAAATGACATTACATTTCTGCATGTTCAAGTACCTTCTAATTCTTCCTTATCCACATTTATTTCAAGAGATTTTGCATATGCAAAGAACCCGACCATCAATTGGCATGGCATGCTACTCGGACCAACTGAAAACAAATCAGATTAGTAATTTAAAAAGAAATAGGTATTAATATGCTTAAATAAACTGAGAGGATAATACATAAACACTGTGCAGACTACAGAAATGTTGTGAGAAACTAAAAATGACAAATAATACAAGGTTTTATAATTTATAAAAATAAAAGAAGCTACTGAATGAAAATACAAAATAGAGAATTTTCAATGACCATTTCAGACCGGATATTCTCTTTCTACTTTCCAAATGATGGACCAGGAAAAAACAAGGATATTGGAGTGCTAGAAAAATACTAAAAGGAAATAGAGAATCAAGACATATAGCAGTGGGCTGTTTAAAAAAAAACCGAAAAGAAAAGCTAATAGGGAATATTAACTAACCATTACAAGTACTAATATCTGGCTGGGCAAGTGGAATCTAAACTACCATCAGCATATAAATGGTTTGTTATTAAGTATTATTATATCTACTTTTACAGTTCAACAACAAATCGGTTATAAGCCACAGCACAATACAACAAAACATGATATGCCTCCAAACAATGTTGCAGAATGATACCTGGCCATGGCTGAGAACTATGATAAACAACTTCTCCAACTTCAATACCAGTCTCTTCATATGTTTCTCTCCTCACTGCTTCTTCTAGGCTTTCCCCTGGCTAAAGACAAAAGAAGATATCAAACAAGGAAATTGCGGAAATAAACACTTTTTTTACCAGGATATTGAGAAAAAAGGTGAGATTGTTTCCTTCATATTTAAGGTATTCTCTAATTATAGAAACAACAGCTAAAACTTGATAAAAATTTGACGTTGCCTAAGAAAGTTACCTCTATGAATCCAGCTAGACAACTCCACATTCGAGGTACAAATCTGGACTGTTTACTTAAAAGTGCACGATCATTTTCTCTATCAATGACCAACATAATGACAACCTATTGTCAATAAACATTAGTTAGAGAGAGAAATTAGGCACCCTACAAACCCACTGGATTGAAATTTCAAAGCTCAAACATCAAGTGCAGCACAAAAGAGCAATGCTTTACTGGATCAACACGAGGGTAAATCCTCTTTTTGCATAACTCATTGGAGCATTGTTTCCTCCTCCCAGCTTCCTTGGGGACTGTTATCTCTCCACAATGTCCACAAAATCGTGATAGATTATGCCATTCAAGCAATGCCCGTGCCTGATCAAATGTAATAAACATGTAGCAATAAAACTCTTGATAAAGAAAAGATACAAAAAAGTGAGTAAAAGTAGTCAGAAGCTGCAAAACCTTATGTATCTAATCAAATGGGCAAATGCAAGAAAACAACAGTAAGTAGACAAAACTTAAAAATGCCAATTGGATAATATTTCAAAGGCATCATTCTTTTAAAACATCATGCATTTTTTTAACCAAGAATGAAGCTTCAAAGGCAAAAACAAAACTTAAAATTACAAAACAAGAACCAATTATGAATCCACAATCACCGCTTTTTCCCACTTACATGACCAGCAATAGCCAATTCACCCATAGCCAAAGAATCAGCCCAATCAGTAGCCACCATCAGTGTCCTAAGCTCCACAAAGCAAAAGTATCTGCTGCCCAATTCAGGAACCAACCCACCTTCCTCAGAAACATCAATAGCCCAATAAACAACATCATCCTCAACTCTTGAACCCAAATAAACCAAAGGCTGCTCAGTCAACTGGATCCCACATTTGGCAAACATAATCTTAAAATCAGGCAAACTGATCCACCCCAGATGCCAAGCGGGCACAACATCATCCCCGATAACAGAAGAAGAAGCCAAAGGCCTGCCCTTTCTGAAAGGCAAGACCTTGAAAAGAGGAGACCTTGGAGAAGGGTGGTTTTCTGGGTTTTGGAGGAGATGGGTTTTGAGGGACTCAAAAGCTGAAGAAGGGGAAAGTGGGTCATGGGGTTTAGGGGTTTTGGATCTTATAGGGTTGCCAGCAAATGCATGGGAATTAAGGTTAATCGACATGGTGGCTAGAGAAGACAAACTGGTTCTTTTTGTTAGAGTGGAGGTTTTAGAAGAAAGAGTAAATAAGAGAAGACGGATGCAAGAGAGAGCACGGCTCCGTTGGTCCATTGGGCGGTTGATACGTTATGAAAGAGATAGGGGTAGGTACGTACCAAGTGAACACTACAGCGCTTGAAGTGACGACACGTCTCATGTTGATAGCTTTTCATTTTCTTGTGGGTCCCTTGCTGATCACCAGCTATCGGACATGCGTAGCCGGCATTCATGAAATTCCATGTCACGGGGGAAAATCTCACGACTTTTTGCAAGTCGTGTTACTGATAATATTTTCCTATGTTTATTTTCCTATTTACTAAGGATTTTTTAAAAAGTGTGTGTTTGGGTCTAGCTCTAATCACGAGGTGTTTCTAAAAGATAAAGGGGCTGAGAATGATACTTAAAGATAAAGTTGAAATGTGATTTTTATATTTCAATTTTCATATTTAAGTTTAAAAAAGTGAAGTAAAAAAAAATTAAGATTGAGAAAAAAAAAGTTAAATGAATTTGTGTTAATGGTATTTTAATTTTTATATTTTTAAGTTATAGAGAATTATTCAAGAATAATAACGATAGTATCAAATTGATATAACATTAAATATGTCAAATCAATTTAATTTATCAGATCAATATAAATAATAAAAATATTTTTAATTGTTTATTGAAGGCTTTTTAGAAGGAAAAAAGTCACTATATCATTTTGACTATTAAATGTCCCTAACATTCTACTTCTCTACCAAACAATCTAAGCATCAAATTATTGAATGTATAATCAACGCCTCCAGTGTCAAGCAGATTGGTAAAAAAAGATGACCTTTAAGTTTAATTTTTCGAGGTCGACATTATAAAAGGAAGACGATCTTAAGAGATGATTGCCTTGAGCTGTGGTTCGACTTTGTAGTTGTTTGTTCTAGAATGGGGCATCTTGCGTTAAGTGCCTAGCAGGTTTAAAGATTACCGAGGTGATAGTTGTTTAGAATTATTTGAGATTAGTGCTGAAGTTCGTCTGGTTGTCATAAGACTTGTATTTTATTTCAAAAGTTTGGATTAAGTCTCTACTTTAAACTTTGATGGTGAATCGAGCTTTCAGTTTACCTCAAAGAGTCATCTGGTTTAGCCAATCCAATCTGGGGTTCGTCTAGTTAGACTGATATAACAATATTAAATGAGGATAGAGATAATCTGAATGGAAAATTTTAAAAGTGAAAGACAAAAAGATGTCTTTCCACCTTTGTTTCGACACATGGCATAGCTTATGCCATTTATTTGATGTCTATATAAAGAGCCATTGGGGCTTTAGTTTTTCACATATTTGTCTTTTTTACTCTCAATTCGATCTGAACTTTTCGATCTCAAAAGCTTTCTAACTTTTAAAGTTTTTTCACATCTTCTTCAATATGTATTCTTAATCATATCTTTCAGTATAAGTTGTCAGGAAGCTAAAAGTTATCGGGTAAAACCTAAATGAGGTCAACGTGAGCAGTAAGATGATAATCTGATTCCACTAATTATTAAGGATCATAATTATAAGAAGACGGCCTATTAGTTTAATTCAATGTCTAAAAAAGGGCAACTACAAAATGAAGAGAATGTTTAGGCAAGAGGAGAGCGGGTCTTAAGCACAAAAGAATTATGTGCTCAGATTGATTTTGACTTATAAAATTCATCACTTTTTCCTATCTTTCATGTTGGTCCATCTTCTATTATCAACTTTTTTTTATCCTTGGTTATTCCCCATTTTGGGGTTTAATCTTATCAATTTTCTTTTTCTTATACTATCCCCCTATCAATACTCCTGTTGTCATTTTTATTCTCCCTTAGTCAATTCTTGTTAAAAAATCTTTTCCTCTCTTAAGGGGTCTGTACCTCATCCTTCTTCCTTCGAAATTGAGTTACTCTCAGCCATGGTTTCACCTCAAAATCTTGCTCTTACTCAAAAGTTAGAGTCTTATGAAGGTGAAGATTTTGATAAAGAAGGTTTTGAAAAGAATAAGAGGAAATGAGTACCTCGATCAGAGAAAGTGACAGCATGGAAAAGAATCTTGTGGAGTAAGATGACCTGGCTGAGGCCCTGTATATACTCTTTGTGACCTTGACATGATTCCCAAAGATGTGATGAGCGAACTAAAGGGCAAGATAAATATTAAAAATTATCCTAATACATGTTCAGCTCATCACATTTGTGCTTTGGCTATGACTTTTCTTTTTCCTAAAAATGAGTATATTATAATAATGTTGAACTTCTCAAATTAGGTCACTAATAGACTAAAGTCACATTAGCTCTATGTGTATTAAGATTCTTTTGTGGTCAGTCTGAGATTTTCATTTTATCCTTTAGTTGTTTTAATTTTTAATTTTTATAATTTAATTATCACTCAGCTCACTTCTAACTTTATATAGTACATAGTTACCTTCATAATTTTTTATCAACATTTAAATGTTCTTTCTTTTCTCTTTCTATTTAGAGAGTTTTTTTTCCTTAAAAAATACCCTAACGATAATAGGTAGTACTACATAATAGCTCAACCTAATAAGAAATTACTTATCGATTGCTCGAGCTTAATAAAAAAAATTAAAAGCTACTCTTTTTCTATCTTAAGAAGCAAAAATTGAATAAAAATGGTAAGCCCAAAGTCGAGGCTACTCCTGAAGTTAAGGCCTGGAAAATAAGGAATACGCCCAATGCTTTCGTGGACACATCGGTGGCTCTCTCCATCTTGGATCTATAAGATTTAGATAAAATTTTAGAATATATCCTTAGGGGGAAGTCGTCATTTATGCCCACGAGCTAACTTTCCTATAAGTAATAAACGAGATAAAGTATTGAGGTAGGTTTAAGGTAATCTTATAAGAGTTTTTTTAACCTAATTTTTATCTAACTGTTTGTTTAGTTTTATAGAGATAACTAGCAATGATGATTTTGACTTCAGGTTGTACTAGCACATCCCCAGGCTCAATAAAGGCAAAAACATTCAATTTAGGCCTTGTTTTGTTGGGAAGACAAGGTTATAAATACCTCACTATACCACTCTCTCGCAGCCCTAAAAAATAAAAGCTAGGACTTATTGAGATCTATTTTTAATGTCAATACCAACACATTTTCCTCTTGTCAAAAAGCTCTAAATAGAGGCCTTCTTTTTTATTCTAAAGAATCTCGAGGCAAATGTGTTAAGGTTCGACTTGAAAAATATCTCTACTAGCTTTGAGTACACTCCTATTGATGACTCCATCACTAATCTAATCATGGTAAGAAGATTCAGCAAAGTCACGATCCTTTTTCTTGGTAAGCACTGATTGACTTTAGCTCAATTTTATCAGTATTTTTCATTTTGCTAAGTTTGAGGTCATTTTGTGTAGTCTAACAAAAATTTTCCATTCAACTCTTGGATAACACTAATAAAGCCATTTACCATGTCTACTTTACGATAGCTCACCTGTTGAGGCTAAAAAAAGACATGGCTACCTTGGTTGAATATCACAAGAAGAGCTCAGACATGCTAGGCAATGTTTGATTTAACCTCAACGTATCCCATAAAAAGAAAGCTAAGCAAAAAAAAAAAATTGACAAGCTGACAGCGAAACTGAAGGCCATCTTGATTGACAAAGCCTCAGCTGACTCAATAAGGAAGCAAGTTGAACTCAAGCTCAATGACGCTCAGGCTGAGATAGCCAAGCTAAGGTCTAAGTTAAAGGCCAAGGAGAAAAGGGAAGAAGTACTTGAAAAAGAAGGTCATGAAGGAGTTTAAGGCTTCTAATGAGTGCCTTTAGATAAATGTGGAGTTTTCTAAAAACAATGTGCTCAGTGCCTTTCAGCTGGTCAAGGATAAAGTGCAATTTAAATTCTCCACCTCAACTTTGACCTTTCTGATATTGATATTAACAATATTAGATGAGGCCTCATCTAAATCAGTCCAAGAAAGATGAGAAAGAGAAAGAAAAAGATGATGATGAGGCCTAAAGGTTGAGTTAGAGGCAGTTTTGAGGCCAAAGCATGAAATAGAAAAGGCCAAAAAAGGTGAGGTTATAGCTACTGTTTTGTAGATGAAAATGCTACTCCCATTACTGTTGTAGCTGATGTTGTTGATGAATGATTTTTTTAACTTTTTGTTTTTGATTTTTGTAAATTTTTATTGATATATGAGGTCAATTTTTTGTAATGACATAAGGTAGAGATGATTTGCTTGACAAACAACTTTTGTACTTAACAGAAATGAAATAAAAAAATTTTTTGTTCAATTTAATCAAAAGTTTTAGCTCAATTATGTTAAAACTTTTTTCTTTATTTGCACAAGTTTAAGCATAATTAATCAAAGAAATTTAAGTTTGGTTAACTGAACTGAAGATTTACATAATCACTTAGATTAAATTAACTCGATAATCCATCTAAATTTTAAGTCAAATTTTGTTATATCAGTTAACCGTAAGCTTATTGAACATAATTTGATTTTTTGCATTTAGGTACAAAATATAAATGTGAGCTTAGTTTAGACCAAGCTACTAATACTAGACCTTTAAATTATCTACGCTTCATGTTCTTGAGATGACATCACTATTTAGGTCTTATAGTTTGTAGGTCATGTCATGGACGATCTCTTTAACAACATATGGTCATTCCTATGACGAAGCTAGTTTGCCACCTTGATTATCTATTCCTAAAGCTTTTACTTTTTAAAGTATCAAGTCACATTTCTTGATATGCTTATATCAGATCTTTTTATTATAATAATTAGCTATTTTTTACTGATAAGCTACTATCTGCGTTAATGTTATACCCCTTTGTTCTTCGATGAGGTCGAGGTCGGCCTGAAGTGCCTTTTCATTTTCTTCTTCTGACCTTAATTTGACTCTTAAGCTCAAAAAGTCGATCTCAATAGGTACCACAACCTTTGTTTCAAATGCCAAATGGAATGAGATTTCTCTAGTGGGTACTTTCATGATCATCTTCTGCCCATAGCATTCTTGGTAGCTTGTTGGTTTACTTCCCCTTCGCTATGTTAAGTCTATTCTTCAGAGCTTTTAATATTATTTTGTTTATAGTTTTGACCTGTTTGTTAGACTAAGAGTGGATAATCAACGTGAACTTGAAATCAATGTGAATGTTTGAACATTATTCCTTAAACCTCGAGTTTTCAAATTATTTGACATTATTCGT